TCTAATTCGGTGTATAAACGAGCGGAAAAAACGAGGAAGAAGCAGCGGTCGAAATGATGGTCGCAACAGGTATCGTTTATCACTGTATTTCTCCATTTTACGATGCGTCGTAAACCGTCATCGAAACGGCAGCCATTTTTCACTGTTTTCAAGTTGTTTACGATCTACGGGTCGTTCCATAAGACATGGGAGAGACTAAAAGGCAAGTGAAAAAAGGAGAAATATAAAGCATGTTAAGAAAAAATCTCAGACGAATATATTAGTGTGCAAACTGAGCACAAATAATCAATAATGAAATTGGAATGTTGGGACAGTTTTTATGTCTTGTGATCGTGAAGCAATGTGTGAAAAGTGATATTGTCATCACGACGTCTATGTGGATATTAATAACCATTAAAGTTTTGATTGAGAAAAAGTGATTATATCAACTATTCGTGCATGTGTTGTTCATCTATTTGTTGCAAAGTGATTCATTATCGATTCAACTATATTTAAAACTGAATTAAGACATATATTACAAGTATTTGTAGTAATTCACTTCGTCTATTCATATATTCTTGAAAACAGTCTATAGTACATAAAAAGTAAGAGAACACGTGATCATGAAATGAAAATGAATACAAAAAAATCAAATTTAAGTCGTACTTTTGATTGTTCAGACTATAGTCACAAACCCTTGGAAGGTTTTTAGAAAATGTTCCCAAATTCCATCAAAAACTCTTTGGGGTTTATATCTAACTACGTCAAAAAGCCTTTTTGAAGGGTTTTTCTCAACATTTTTTTGTTTTTATTACATCCTTGAAGAGTTTACTCTGCCAAAAAGGTTTACACAAAAAGACTTCACAAAATAAATATTACGCACTTTTTCACGAGAAGATTTCGAATAAAACTGCTCAAAATGGTTTTTTCTACTAAGACAATATTTTTTTTTCTTTTGTTGAAATATATAAAATAAATTTCGATACTTCTAGTTTTAAAATATACGCCTTTTCAAACTTCTACTATATTAACTTTTGACAGAATTTTAAAAATTCTATCTCATAAGCTCATATCTACCAGCAAGAAAGGTTTGTAACGATTTTCACTCTCAACTCGATTTATTTTTAATTTATATTTTTTATTGTTTTATTCTAATTTGAATAATTGTTCTGTGAAACTACAATGCATGTATTAATTAACTAATACTTATTCTGAGACTTGTTAATCTTGCGATTGGATCAACAGATTTCAAAAGATATTGAAACAAAGTTAACTCAAGTGACGAAAATTATTCATAGAAGAACTGCACTTGTCTATGCATTAGAGCTTTCAATTAGCTCATCAGTGTGGGTGTGGGTTATTGCTCTATGGAATGAAGTTATCTGAGAGAATAAAAATCTAAAATAAACAATGCTTGTTTATTTCATAGGTTTGGAGATGAACCGAAGTGTAATGATTAGTAAGAAAGTCAACTTCGGCAAACATATAAATGTTGTTAGTATTCATTAATTGATGTATATAATCTATTCTATGAATATTTAACTCATGAAAACCTTATTTGCTGCTTGTTTCGAAGAAAGACTAAACATTGAAAATGAGAAAGATAATTGAATAGAAGATAATAAAATATATGTTTTTTGTAGTCATTGTAAGTAAACTGAAGAGGCATCATACATATGATGCTTCATATCAAAATCTATAATAGAAGAGAAAAGAAAAAGATGAACTATTAAAAGTGGGAGCGACAGTTAAACTTTAAAAATACTTTAATAAAATAGTTATAGTAGAAGTTTTTTTGAGAAAAAAAGCGATTTTTTCATAAAAGTATTTTTTTATTGAAAAAATTAAGCTCCAAATTTCGAAAAACTGATTTCAGGTTTGCGTTCTTCGGCTCCAAAATCTTCGACTAAACTTTGTAAAAAAATTGCCTTTTCTCTAGTGAAAAACCTTTATTTTAACTTTGATTTTTTTTTAAAGTATGCTTAGTTCAACTTTGACTTTAATGTTAAACTGTCATCCCTAACTAAATGTATGATTTATGAATGATATTCAACTCTAAGTTACTTTAAAAAGGTTCGTTGTACTACATTCAAAAAGAGAAATGATTTTTCAAAATAAAATCACATAGTTATAATCTAGCAATGGATTAATTTGATGAAATTTATCTAACACATAAGGATGTCAGTATGTCAAACAGACCATGACACGTTTCGAGTTTACTCAAGGGTTTCATCAGATGGTTTTGACTTTCTTTTACTGGAATCCACAGCCACTCCTCGTTCTGATCTGTGTATATGGTCTGTTGGTAGCTCTGATCCAGAATTTGACAATAATTGTCTAGCAAAAGAATTTTTCTGATGAAGCTAATGCAAGTCCAATTCGAAAAGATTCACCAATAAGAATAGTTACTTTAAAGCTTTAAATTTCGGACACACTCTAGAAGATTCAAAGTGGGAATCGATCGTAAATTATCTTTCATTGTTCTATTCAAGCAAGGCAACAACCATTAAACAGAACCTTTTTTATTTAGTTGTTCATCAGTGAATCGTGACGTTATCTTACGAATACACCATGTTCGTACTGTTTAACGATCTTTTGAATATCATTCTACTAGTACTCTTGATAATATTCTGAAAGATTTATTCTTTTAAAAAATAAAAACATATGTTGAATTAAGAATAAGAAGTTCGAGAATGATAGATCTTTATGACCAAAAAACAAACAGCTCGACTATAATATCAAAAAGAGAAAGCAAAAGATTTTGGTTGTTTGAAAAAATAGCTAATGCTAACCCTCATTCTTAAAAAGGCATTCCAAAAGCATGGATAGTTTATCAAATGATGACATGTATTAGCGTCAAAGATGTTGCAGATATTGTCGCTAATTTTAGTTTTAGCTAGGTACACTGTGCCTTTGTGTCTATGTTTTCTTTCATTTTCCATGTTTCCCTTCTTTTCCTTTCCTGTCGTTCTAGTTTTGACTCATGTCCATCTCAAAGGAAGCATAGTATGATTTTCCAACTACTGTAATTTCTTCTTTCCTATCTTTTTCGTTTTCTACCGATCATTTATTATCGTCCAATTTTGTACCACGTCATGCTTTCCTTTTCTCCTTATCTTTGCGTTTTCATTCTCTTTCGTTTTTTTTTCTTTGCTTCTCTCTTTCTTCTCATTTTGTCCTTGTTTAACCTTCTCGGTTGTTACATACTCATTCATCGATTATATTTTCTTTTTTTTCTTTGTACTTCTTCAATAAAATCAATATCATCTCGATCCCTTTTTCCATCGATTGATACAAAGGAGGTAAGCAGTTTTCTTTTTAAGTGTTTCTTCTCTTCCTTGCAGAGCAGGAGTCACTGGAAAATGACTTTTTCGACTTACGTTTCTCTTGTAGATAGATATATTAGAATTAGTTCGCATAGATTCAAGAAGACATCTCACAACATGATCGATATCCTTCTCCACATATTGAGTTAATTGAGTAAGATCGAAATCGATGTTCCATGTCCAACTTATTATTGCAAAAAGTTGTCGATGCAAATCTGTCATGAAAAAAAAATTGTTTGATTCGACACGGATGCATAAATTGTTTATTTCTATGCATGTTTTACTTAAACCTGAATTAAGTTGAAAAGCAAAGAATAGAAAGAATTTGTTTAATCTACTTAACTTGTAAAAATCTCTTTTTTTGAAATTATCAGCTAAAAACTGACATATCAAGCTTTATTCTGTAATTGGTCTTTCAAAAAACACTAAAGAAAAACGAAGATATAACTTGTTTAGAAAAAATTATCCTTAAACTGAACAGCACATTTTGAGAAGTGATAGTTTTAATATGTCTTTTCAACTTCATCTGAATGAGAGAAAGTTTGATCAATATCCATAGACACTTGAAGATAATGTTTGTTGAACTGTGTAGCGGATTGTGATGAATGAAATCAACTCTCTTCATATCAATGTAAGAAGATTTCATCAGGTTTCAGAAAACTTGAATACTACTTAGGATATCTTAGGTCCAAATTCGGGTTTTCTTAGGGTCGATCCGCCCAGAAAAATGTTCCGACACTATTTGAATATGATTGTAGATAAAGACAAGACCTACACTCGCACCCACATCCCATACACTCTGAAGCCAAGGTAATTATGTGTTACTGCTCTATTAATGAATAATTCATTTTATCAGCATGTCAACACTGGTGTGAAAAGAATTTCAGATGAGTGAGAGGAAAATTAGTATTCTTAATTTGAAATCTTATGATACTGCTTAAACCAGGGATACATTCATTATTAAAGATCGAACATTCATCGTAATATATACTAAGCGATTCTGCATCAGACGAGAGAGAAAAAGAAATATTATATTGAGATATGCCTATGCCGAAGAGTGCTTCGAGATGCTCATGTATCCATTGTCCTTCCGTGTATATCAGTTTTTACTCTGTTGGATATGATACGATAGTCACACGCAGTCTGAAGTTATAGCCGAACATTTTTCAGTCCTCATTATTACCATGTATCTTTAAGTTGAAAATGTATCTACTGAAAGAGAAACGTGCAATGGAATCGAGTCAAGATTTAAGATAGACATAAAATATTCCATGTGTACTAATGGCTGTAGTTTGATTGCTTGATTTTTTTTCTCTTCTGTTCTGTATAGACATTCAGATAAAGTCAATAAAACTTGGTGCAACACGATACAAACGAAAAATATTATCATATAGTTGCCTTTTTCTTTTTTCGTTCACTTCTTCTTGTTGCCTTAATACGTCGATTATATAGAAGACCTTCTTTTCTTCCTTCTAGTCTGTCTAGCAACATACATCATTTTTGACTAAAGCAATAATCGATGATAGTACCACAGATATCCAACGATGGATATCTCCAGCAAGAATTTGACAAAATGGACAAAGGTTTGTTTTAGTTTCCTTTTCCTCAAAAGCATGTTGATCATATGTAGTGATTTTCAAAAAATACCTCATTTTTGTCATTTATTTGAATAAGTTCATTAAATGATGACATTCTATGTATTTAGATAAGACAAGTAAAATATCCGTGACTGAATTTCGAAATTTAGTCTTTAGTGATGATTTTCTTCAAAATTTTCGTAGTCCACCAATTGATATTTATATGGCCGAAATGAGTAATAATACAGGATGGATTACATTTGAACAATTCAAAAAGTTTATGCAAGCCGAAACGCATACAAGAATCCTCTGGTTATTATAGAACTCAAATAAGCATTCAATGAGGTCGATACTAATAAGGATGGTCTTATATCACCACAAGAAGCACGTCAGAGTATTATTTTAGCTGGTGAACGCATACCTGGAGGTAGTTTTGGTCATATTATTCAAATGTTTGATGACAATCACGATGGACAAATGTCACTTGAAGAGTTTTTAAATAATGTTCAGAAATTAGTTCATGAATAAATCGAAAAGAGACGCTGGTATTTAGTTATTTGCTATGCTCACCATTCTGACAAAGAAATCTTTTCAGATATTAAGGAACTTTTCTAATCAGCTTCACGAGTTCCATGCAACCATAGGGCGATGTAACCAGTAGAATTAAGTTCTGGATGTAGGTACGGATCTTGTTTTCACCCACACCTATCCCCAAAACGCGTGTGCTCAGTATTTTGATAATATTTCCTCATCATTGTAACGGTTTCAACTGAGACACATATCAAAAGATGGAGGACTTTCGAGTCTACAAAACCTATCCTATTTCATTCACACAAGTGTTCTCTGTAGAAGCGCTATACGTCAAATACTGTCCAAAATATGAAAAAAGTATTTGTCCAAAATGTGGTACGTTGGGTGCGGGTGTGGATGGATGTGGGTTCATTTTCTTTTTAACTCACACCCACAACAGAAGCTCAACAGATCGACTCCTAAAGAACGAAGTTTTAGCTGAGACTGGTTTCTCTACATGCATAGTAGTTGTCTCATTCTTCTGGTTAACTTAATTCAATTTGTTTGTCTATTTATCATTTAAATTAAAGATCGGAAATTTTATAATATAATATGTGGTAAAGCAACTGATGAATCTAGTGTTGAACAACTATGTTTTACAATTAGATCTGTTGATGATCAGTTCATTGTGCACGAAGATGTTATTGGACTATACCAGTTGACATCTCAAAGTGCAGAGCATGTCACAGAAATTATACTTGATATTTTAATTCGATGTGATTTAGATATTAAATTATGTAGAGGACAAGGATGTGATGGTGCATCAACAATATCAGGTCATTTATCTGGTGTATTATCCAGAATTAAAAATTTAAATTCGAAGGCGTACTATATTCATTGCAATGCACATTCATTGGATCTTGCACTACAAGATTTAACTCGTGAATCATCACTTGTGACATCTACCTTGGATATAATGAATGAAATTATGAATTATATGAAAAAGTCTCCGAAATGTTTACACCTATTAGATAAGTTAACTGAACTAAATTATTATTCAAACTTAAAGTCATTGTGTCCAACTCGATGGACAATGAGATGAGAAAGTTCTTGTTAATCTTGTTATTCTATAGTCAGAAGTTCCAACAGTAAGGAAATACTTTTCCATTTGCAAGATATTCTTCACAGAAAAATCAAAATAACAAAAGAGTGATTTTAAGAATTCAATATATAACTATACATTCTTTTCTTTTTCTTTAGGTCCTCTAGTCATTTCTGCTACAGAAGAAATTTCATGCTCATTACAACGTATTGACAATTGTTTATAAGATGTTTTGTATACAATTAAAACTTTAACAAAATATTTAGGGAGAATTAAATGTACGATTATTTTAAAACGTTTTATGAATCAATTTTGAAAGAAACTCAACAGTTTATCAAAGTTCCTATGACATGTTTCAACAGCAGTATTTTGACGTCATCAATAGAGTTTTAAATGCATTAGATTTACGTTTTCAACAGTCCATGTTCTCATTGTTATGTAAAGTGGAAAAATTTATCATAGCAGCAGCAAATGGTACGAAAGAAGATGATAATCTAAATATTGAAAGTATTGTTGAATTTTTAAATGATGATATTGATATTCCACGTCTAAAATGTGAGTTGAATTTGTTATCTGATTATTTTTCAACCATTAACTTAGAAGATAATTTAGGTTTAAAAAAATTTCAAAATGTTTGCGATCTACTCAGTATACAATCTATTAGGAAAACTATGTTTCCTGAATATTGTCAATTATTACGTTTATATTTAACAGTTCCTGTTACAATGGCTTCAGCTGAAAGATGCTTTCATGTTATGAATCGAATAAAGACATATCTGCGATCAGCAATGATGCAACGACATTTTAACCATATCGTTATTCCTTATATTCACAAAGAAAAATTGGATCAATTGGACTTGAACAGCATCTGTTCTGATTTTATTTCAAAAAATCGGAATAGAAAAGCTTTTTATTGGATGTAAATAGTAATTTTTATACTTATGACTTTTTTGTTTACGTTAATCATGGTTTAAGGTTTTTTCTGTTTATTTTGATTATTAATTAAAAGCTTTGAAAGTACAGTAGAATTTATGATCATTTTAGAAGCATGCAAATCGGTGGATGCAGAAATATCTTTTTAATGAAAGTTGTGATGAGAAAATTGAAAATTTTCTTACCTTCTTTAATATTATCCTTTTATGTTTATTTGAAAAAAATTTTGAGCCTCCCCTAAATCAGAATCGCTTCGCCACCTCTAGTTGTCGGGCGTGAGTATGTGACTGCATGATACGTGTGTTTTTGGGTGTGAGTGTTACGCCAGGTCCTCTCATCAGCAACACCCACAGCCACACCCCCTCTTATCATTAGTTATAGAATATATTGTCATCAGAATAGATCAATAATCATATAAAAAATTAATGTTTGATTTTTCTGAATGATTTCTTGTATGTTTATTCGTAAAGAATGATAGAAATGTTTTTGAAATAAAAAATTAACTATAAGTATATATTTTCTGTTTAATATTATCAATTAATTGATATTTATTTAGTATGTAGTTGATTTGAAGTAATTTCGATATTACATATACAAAGGTAATGTAAATATAAAATATGAGATACACGTGATCGCATGCATGTTTGCTTCTTGATTTACTCCTGTTCGCGAACCGATGAAAGAATATTAGTCATCTAAACTTAAAATAAACTTGATTGATAGACTGTTATGGTCGATAATGAAACGACAAAAAAAAATGCAGCAAATTTAACACGAACACCCCATATGATTATTATACGAAATAAAATGGCGTAATATGTTTTTTTTTGATCGATAATATTGATCATATGATCAAACTTGATTCGTTATTTGTATCACTTCGAGAAAAGTAAAGAAGAAAGAAATCATGTTGGATACGGTTGAGAGGGTGTGTCTCATATATACATGTGTATATATTTTGCTGTACAATTACATTTCTTACAATTGTTTCATTTCGGATACAATCATTCATAACTTTATACTTTCATAAATTATTATCAATCATTGACAAGAAAAAAAAAACAATATCAACGAATATAAAGATGGTATTTCGTATTCCTGTAACAATTCATAGTGTACCAGAAAAATTTCTTATTGTATGTGAAACTGGTCGTGAAACTATACAATGGTTATGTGAAACTGCTTATAAAAGATATACTGAAAAATGCAAAGATAAAACAATACCTTATTATTTTGTGGCTCGACGTGCGGATGATCGATGTTTATTATCACTTAATGATCGTGTTGAACATGTATTAAAAGATAATGAATCAATAAAAATTGGTAAGATTTATATTAATTTTGTCGATTACTAATGAATGTTTTTTTCTTCCTTACCTAGATATAGCTAAACAATTCGATGATGATGATTCATTTAGTACAGCTACGTAAGTTTTTTTCTTTTTTTGTATATTTCTTTTTATTTCTAAATGTTGACATGTTTTTCTACTAAAATAGAGATGAAGAACGTCATGTAAGTGTTTTCAATAAATGAAAACTTTATTCAACAAAAGAAACTATTCATATAGATTGTTGTACTCGATGGATATCATTTAAAATGTAGTGATCTTGTTCGGCTCGGTACTGGTGATTATCAAATTGAAGTAAATATTAAATTGAAATACAGAATTTTTATTTGAAAGATCAAACCCAAGTTTACTTCATTAATCCTGATAAAAAGTCTTAAATTTTCAATGAATAATTGGTACACTACACAGTGCGTATCATCTCAAAAAAGATTAGGACGTAGGGTCCGAGTTCAAACATTTTGAATCCGACGGGCTCTAGTAGTACGGAATGTACAAATGAATTGAATGACGATGTTTCGATCTGAAATTTTGCCCATACATTATGTTCTCTTCACGAGATATTGAATTTTCAGAACATTCTAGTTGCAAGTAGATCTATCTATAAGCAATATTTCAGGTTGAAGTATCGTTTCTTTTGAGATGTTTAATACCAGGCAATTTTCAATTTGAGAAGGTTCCTTCGTAAGTATTGTATTCATAGAAGAAAGACTATTGATGAAGATTAATGAGGTAAACTTGGTCTCAATCCGAAGACTTTAGTCCGGACTGAAATTCATATAATCTTTTATAATTATTTAATTGTATTCTATTACATTAGTTACCCGATGAAACATGGAATTTAATTCATAAAGCACGAAAAGTTATTAATGATATTGTTGATAATAAAAAAGGTTTATTAATATTTTATTTTAAGTATTAACTAAATTATTTTGTTTGATAGTTGTTTACGGTGTAAATACAGGTTTTGGTTCATTTGCGTCAACAATTATTTCTAATGAAAAACTTGCGTAAGTTTTTTTTTTTTTAAATTATTTCTTTATCATATTATTATGGATACATATATATATATATAGTGATTTACAAACACGATTAATTGTTTCACATTGTGCTGGTGTTGGTGAACCATTAACAATTGAACGAGCTCGAATGATGTTCGCATTACGAATTAATATTCTTGCAAAAGGATATTCAGGCATATCAGAAGATACTTTACGTAAAATTATAGCTGCATTTAATAGTAAAGAATATATATATATATTAACATAAATTGAAATTAATTTCAATATTTTTATTTAGAATCTTGTATACCGGAAATTCCATCTCAAGGCACAGTAGGAGCTTCTGGTGATTTAGCACCATTAGCACATTTAGCTGCTGGTATTTATAATTATAAGAAAAAAAAAAGATGATATGTTTTAAAAAAACAAATATATATATATATATTTGTTTTAATTAGGTTTAATGGGTACTGGACGTATGTGGTCACCAAAAACAGGTTGGGGAAATGCACAGGATGTTTTAGAACAGAATGGATTAGGTTTAATTGAATATAAACCAAAAGAAGTAAGACAAAATTAAAATATCTCTTTATTTTTATCTTCAATTTTAATATTTATATAGGGTTTAACTATGATCAATGGCACACAATTTATTACAGCACTTGGTGCAGAAGGTAAAAGATTTGTTCTTTCAGATAATTAAATTTGTGATTTATTTAGCTGTTGAACGAGCTATTTTAATTGCTCGTCAAGCAGATGTAGTTGCAGCTTTAAGTACAGATGCATTACGTGGTACAGTTCGACATTTACATCCAGGTAAATATTTTTCACTAAACAATATTTCATATATTTTAAGTCTCAACGAAAATTAATTTTCGTTGAGATTCATATAATTTATGAGATAATTTTTATGTCTTTATTTAAATCAGATCTTCATTCATCTCGACCTCATGTTGGACAAAATCTTGTTGCCGAACGATTACGTGCATTATTATCTTCTCCATTACATCCATCAGCTATATCAGATAGTCATGCTAATTGTGGTCGAGTACAAGATGCTTATTCAATTCGATGTATTCCACAAGTTTGTTTTTTTTATCTAAATAAAATTTGTTTTTTATATAATCAATATTTATTAGATTCATGGTATATCATGGGATACAATAAGATTTGTTAAAAAAATTATAATAACTGAAATGAATAGTGCAACAGACAATCCACTTGTATTTCCAGAAACTGGTGATGTTGTTTCCGGTGGTAATTTTCATGGAGAATATCCAGCTAAAGTAGATTATTTTTTCGTTACATCATATTTTATTTATATAATATGTAAAATTTTTTTAAAAAAAACAAAAAAAGGCATTGGATTATTTAGCAATTGGTGTACATGAAATAGGTAGTTTAAGTGCATGTCGTATGGAACGACTTGTTAATCATGGTATGAGTGGTTTACCAGCATTTTTAACACTTGAAGGTGGATTAAATTCTGGTTTTATGATTGCACATTGTACAGCTGCAGCACTTGGTAAATAATTTTATATTTAAGAAGAAGAAAAAAAATAATAAAACCTAATAATTAATTATTTTAATTAATATATAGTTTCGGAAAATAAAGTTTTATGTCATCCATCATCAGTTGATAGTATTTCAACAAGTGCTGGTCAAGAAGATCATGTTTCGATGGGTGGATGGTCAGCTCGAAAAGCACTAAAAGTTATGGATAATGTTGAAATTTGTAAATGACAAAACAAAAAAAAAAAAAACTTTTTTCTTATATTTATTTATAAAATTATGTTGTTTTTAGTAATAGCAATTGAATTATTGATGGCTTGTCAAGCTATTGATTTATTACATCCATTAACATCTACTCCTCCATTAGAAGCTATTCATAATTTAGTTCGACAATCAATTGCGTATGTATTTTGTATGATTTACACTAAAAATCTTGTCAGTATAGTTCCTTCGGGTCTAATATATGCAACTCACATATGTTTCGTTAGCCTTATTATATTAATGCAAAAGTTATTAGCACAATTCTTTTGAGATTAAAATACAAAATACGATATAACTACTATTATGAATCACAGAGAGATGCTAGTACAGAAGGCATAAGTACGCTCACATTCGTACGAAGACGCTATTTCTACCATATATGGAACCGCTCTAGTTTTTTAACTATCGGACTAATAGACCGGCCCGCTTAAAATTTTTTTTTTCGTGAAATTGCAACAAAACTTCATTATATATTTAATGAAGGTAAATACCGATAGATCGGCCAGTTATAGGTGCTGATTCCATCTATGATTTCGATTGAAATCTGGCATTTTGTAACAGTTTAAAAATATTCATGCACTGAAATACACAAAAAAAAAAATTAAGCAAAAGAACTTCGGTTAATTGAACGCAATTTTTAAGCGGTTTGAACGATGTGGATGAATCCAAAATGGTTATCCTTATATTTCAATACTCCTTTTAGATCGTATTTCACAAAATACGTCAAATAAAAATTCCCTAGCAGACTCTTCTGGATCTCGAATAGAATTTTGCAATGAAGATGTACCTAATGGCGATTGATCTTTCTTTCTTCCCACCTCATTGCTAGGGAATATATGCTCATTAGTTTTTAACTTTTTTCTCCGGTTGCTATAACTTGAGTTTTACAAAAAAATTCTTTTTTTTTGTTCAATTAAAGTACTTGGGATAAAGATCGATTTATGTCTCATGATATTGAAGAAGCTACACATATTATTAAATCTGGTATTGTAAGTATAGAATGAATTAATAGATGAAAATCTATTCTTTAATAATTTTTTTTTTTTCTTTGTAGATTTGGAAAACAGCAGAACCTTATATTCAAAATTATCATAATTATTATTATGTAAAACATCATGGAGAACCATTGCCAAAGGATGACTAATCAGAATTCAAAGCGTTTTCATTGAACAATTATATTATTTTGTATTATAATTTTTTCTATACTCCGAAAAAAAAAACTGTCAATCAAGCAAATTTAATAAATTCATTTTATTTTTGTCTTCTTTTCTATTTGAAATTATCTTTTCATAAAAAACAATTATTGTATTGTTACTTTTTATGAGATTATGAAAATATTCATTTGTTCTTTCATGCAATTCTTCAAATATATTCTTATTCTACAAACAAAGACAAAAAAAAAGAGAATAGTAAAAGGATGTATTTCATATATATTCTTATTCTTCAGTTAAAAATAATGATGATTATGATCTATGCAAAAGATTATAGTGCAGCTGAATTAAATCGATTACGTATTACAAAACTTTACCGAAATCATTTATTGATAAGTCCAACAATGAAAAATACTACTCAAACAATAGTAGCTATTGGTCTAGGAATTATTGAAATCGAAGGAATTGATCCACAACAACAGGTTTGTAAAAAAAAATATTTATTCAATATAGATTCTACTTTTTTGTGTATATGACAGTGTTGAATACTGGACACTTCAATCCTACAGAAATTTTCTTTTTACACTTTTTGCATAATACGCACTGTCATTTGTGATATTTGATACGTATTACATTTCATAAAAGTTTTCTAATACATATTACAGAAAAAAAGATCAGGAAAAGAGAAAAAATATACCAACATGAATAAGGAAAGATAATAATATCTTCTGTAGTTGGATGAATATTGATTAATGAATTGTAATAGTTTATCAAAAATTAGAATTTGTTCATGCATGTGCTAAGTCATCCTCTTGGAAGTAGCGTTCAACAGTTCCAAAAAAATTGAAACCAAACCGGAACCGTTAAACTTCAGGTTCGCCAAACAAGGGTGAAAAATAGCTCGATCATATCTTCAAGAATTCTTTGTGAACCTTCATTCTATACATTTAAATTTTGTTTTTGTTTGAAAGCTTGTGTTTAGGGCTAGTCGCTTTCATGACTTTTTTTTTTAAAATTCTTACTTTTTAAGTGAAGAAAAGAGATGATAAGTTCAAGGACTCAAAAAACTCTCCCGAAAAAATAGCGGTGTTTTTACATGATAATAAAACAGCTTATTTTCCGAATAGGAGGTGACAGAAATCTTCAAAAATTCTTGGAAAAAAGGATGTGTCGAGTAAAACTTTTTGTTGTTTATGGAAGATCAGATGACGGGCTATCGTTCCCTGCATTTATCTTAATTTCGTTGATTTTGACGAAAAGTGACTTTTTTGACGGGGAGGAGGTTAAGCTTCCGACGAAATGAGAGTTCACCAATTTGAGATGTTTATTTTTTTTTTCTACAGGTTATAACACTTAATGTTAATTTTGAATTAAAATGGTGTGATGATCGTTTACGTTGGAATACAAGTCAACAATTATGTTTAAATAAACGAAATCGTTCGACAATATTTTTCAGTGCAAATGAAATATGGATACCTGATATAATCGCAATAAATGGACCAGGAAAAACAGAAAAAGAAGTAAAATATCAATATCCAATTTTAACTATATGTACAGGTATTGTTCGATGGTCATATCAAGATAAACTTGTATCATATTGTGAAATAAATGTTGAAAATTTTCCATTTGATCAACAACATTGTTCTATTATACTTCAATCAACTATATATGATTTAACTAAATTAAAATTACGTAGTTTATATAAAGTTATACAATTATATAATTTTATAAATACAGAATGGAAAATAATACATGCAACAATTGAAGAAATTGATTTATATAATCCATATTATGAACGTTATTTTAGTACAATTAAAATAAATATTAAACTTGTACGTCATTCACATTTTTATATTGTTAAAATTCTTTTACCTTTTTCAATTATATCATCACTTGGATTATTTTCATTTTGTTTACCAATAGATAGTGGAGAAAAAATAACACTTACTGTTAGTGTTTTACTTTCATTAACAATTTATTTACAACTTATATCAAATTATGTACCAAAAAATGAACGTAATCTTTGTATATTAACATTATATTCAAATATAATATTTTCATTTATTTTTCTTTCTTGTCTATTTAATATATTAACAATATTTATTTATTATCATGAACAATATTTTTTAAGAAATAAAATATTAAAACAACAACAAAAACAAACATTTTTATTTACTATAAATCAATCATTATTAGAATTTAATCAACAACGATTAATAGTATTTGAAAAATATCAAAATATTCAAGAATATTTACCTGAACATATTAATATTAATAATCATGAAATTTTATATGATTTAATATATATACGAGAATTATTAAAAGATTTACTTATAGGAAAAAATTTTATTAATTTTCATTATCATTTATTTTATTCTCAACAATCTATTCAACAATTTGCTATATTAATTGATCGAATTTTATTTTTTATTTATCTTATTTCAATGCCATTATGTATGATAATATTATTTAAATCAAATAATCAATCAAATATATCATCATCAACAATAAATCAATTACTTGATATACGTAAAACAGCTATTGATCCACCACCAATTTATCGTGGATGTCCAACATAATGAAATAAATGTTTTTTTTTCGTTAGTAGAACTCACACATTAGGGATGCACCAGTCCCAGTCCTGACTGGGATCTAGTCATGACTGGGTACTGAGTCCTTTGATCTTTAGTCCATTAGTCGAGTAGTACTTTGTTCTTTTCTAGTATATTGTCATACAGTGATTCTTAGGCTGTTGAAGTACTGATATAAACTATAACACTGAATCCATTGGCTAATCATATATATCTATATAGCAATCGTTATAACTTAGAATACTATAAATAAATTTCATGTCTTCATGGTGTGGGTGTGGGTGTTGTTTGGATGGATGTGGGAGTGGATGTTGTTTGGATGTGGGAATGGTTAGAATGACAATAACGACACCCATATCAACATCAAACCCACACCCACATCCACACTCTTAGAAAAGAGGGAAGTACTGATCGATTAGCGGAATAAACGTCAAATGACTAAGTACCCAGTCATGACTGGGTGTCCAGTAGGACTGGGACCCAGTTACTGGCACTGGTGCACCCCTATCACACATATATTTTCGAAGAAAATAACAAATGTAAGATAAAACCGAGGTGCGAAGAAGAAAGCAAAAAAACCATCGGATACGTTTTCCTAACAACGGAGAAAAGACACGTCAATAATAAAATAGTACCTTCCATTGAGATTAGAAGATGAATTTATTTCAATTTGTGTTCAAATACTATGATAATGTCTTTAAAAATACTGCAACAAATTCTATGTTGCATTACCGATGATTTACCTAAGGTAGTGCTTACGACTTTCGATTCCAGCTATAAAAAATTGTACAGAGTGTTTTTTCTAATCAAATTCGAATTATTTATTAGAAAGAATTCGAATTAATCAAGAAGATAAGAGTTTTTTTACTAATAAAAATTTATCGAGTGATGTCATAATCCCGTTACATTCGGTATCCACCTTCACAAAACACAATACATAATAGGGTACTGAGCGGTTTCGGTGTATTACCCCAAGGGTAATGACTTTATCATCTTAAAGAATAACTACATATTTTGAAGTTGAGCAATTTGAGTGGATTTAGTGTACTATCTAAAGGGTGGTGTCTTTCCTTATCTCTCCGTATAACTACACGTTTATAAAAGCTGAGCAATTTGAGTTGTTTTGGTGTATTACCCCAAGGGTAATAATATTCCTTATATCATTCGATAACTAGGGTGTGTGTGGGTGTGGGTATTGATCCTCTACATCCACACTTACATCCCACACCTGCACCCGCGCCGACACCCTGACATACACCCACAGTGACACCCTCATCCCACACTCACACCCACACACCCGCACCTGCACTCACACCCTCGACTTTATCACTGTTTCATCAAATACCAATCAACTATTATTTGAGAAAGGAACTGTAGAACAAGTGTCATTACAAAATCGTCTGCAGTGTCTAAGTTTGACTTTTCAATGACATTTATTTATAATCCAATATCAGATGATGATATGTTATCATGTTTATTCGTTTGTTCTTGTGATCTGTTCGAAAAAACAATCGCCACACAAATTGCTCGAAGATTCCAACATCTTTTCGAGCAGGTTTTTACAATAAACTCAAGTGATATGCAGATGTATGTGAAAGATGACACTATACTATATGATTTATCTGCCTTTAAAGTTTAGTCCTTCTGAGATGTTGAATTAAAGTGCCAATTCTAACACCAAGATAGACTTGCTGTGTACACAGAGACGCATGTGGGTCGCGGCTCTTCGGGAAGCGCTACGCGCCCCACGTCACGACGCTGAAATAAAAGGTGAGTTATGCGGACAGAAGTCTTTTCTGAAATTGACTACTCTTATATTTGCAAAAAAAATGATATGAATACTTTATCTATTATTTACTTTTTTTCATTCCTTCTCGGTAATCGAATTAAAGTTTGAACTCGAACGCAAAGATAGACTTGCTGTGTACTCATAGACGAGCATGGGTCGTGGCTCTTTGGGGAGTGCTACGCGCCTCACGCTGCGATGCTGAAATAAAATATCAGTTAAGCGGAAAAGAAGATTTCTATACGAGTGGATATTCAGCATCACAATTTTCATTTAATGAACCAATCAGAAAGGCGAGACATCAATTACTACACTAAACTCCTTATGTGGATTACACAGGCACCATTCACATAAAATTTATCTCTCACTTTTATTACCTTATCGCAGTTATAGGACTGTCCTATGTCGCTTATAATTTATAATTGAAATAAAAAATTTTTCTTTTGTCGTTAACACGTGTCGATTAATTTTTTTTCATTTATTTTCGAAGTCATATTATACAGTTGATGCTTCATTTATATTCGAAGTCGAATAAGGCAACTCATGGTAATATATCAAATCATTGTATGTCTTTTTTTTTGCTCAAGATGAAGAATATTTTGCTTTTAAACCTCAAGCGCAAGATGATTATGCTCAATTTTTACAAAATCGTTCTTGTGAAATAAGTCAAGATGATGTTCTTATTCTTACCATTCTTCTGTAGACGAACAAGGACAAAGTACGTTTGAAGGTACAAAATAGCATTTAATAAATGTGCTCAATTACTTCCATTGAATGAGCAAGAATTACTTGATTATACGATTCTAATGTATCTTCGTCCGTACAAAGAATGTCTTGCACTGAAAAAAATGTGCGTAGAATAATAAACCCTCAAAAAGGGTTTATGACCACGGCATAAACCCTTTTTAGGTTTATGGACGTAATCTACCCTCTCATAAACCCTTTTTTTTCATAAACCTTGGCAAGGGTTTGTTATACGTTGCACTTTCATATACTCTTGTACTATTTTCTTTGTTCATAAACCCTTTTTGAGTATATGAACGAAATAAACCCTTCGACAAAGGTTTTGTTATTCTACGTTTTAAAGATAACTGTAGAATAATATACCCTTTGTCTAAGGGTTTATTTCGTTCATATACTCAAAAAGGGTTTATGAACACAGAAAACAGTACAAGGGTATATGAAAATGCAACGTATAACAAACCCTTGTCAAGGTTTATGAAAAAAAAGGGTTTATGAGAGGGTAGATTACGTCCATAAACCTAAAAAGGGTTTATGCCGTGGTCATAAACCCTTTTTGAGGGTTTATTATTCTACGCACATTTTTTTCAGTGATGGTGAAGAACTTTTCAAACGATGTTCATTACAATTAATTAAATCTAGCTTTTCTCATACTGCATAGAAAGTTTATAAAAAATATATCAGAGAAGAAATAACACTTGCGAATTTGCACAAGATCGAATCAATTATACATGAAGTTGCTGAATCAGCATTAAAACAAACATTAGACATAAATGAAAAACAGTCGAAAGAAGATGTGGATAAATTCTTAAGTCCATTTTGATTGATTAGTAAAATGAAAAATGTTGATAATGTTGTTTTATTCTTTACCAATGAAAAATTAACGAATAAATTTACGATCATGATTCACACACGAGTTTCGATTCATATGCCATCTAGTTCTACCTGTGTAATTCTATTGAACAAAGAACGAACAATCCAACGTCGTTTGATTACCAAGTGTATATATAACTTGATCTTATTGTGTCCATTCAGTTCGTTTATCTATCCACTTACTGATTATCGAATAATGTCATCCGATCTTCATTTTAATCAAACTTCTCGAGAACAAGTTACTACTGGTGTTGATGGTTTATTTAAATTATAAATATCTTCGATGATTTAGATTTATTTTTATAGATTCAAATGTTTTAATTGTTAGTCCACTAGAAAAAGATGAACCATCTGATTCTCGTTCTAAATCAATTTCTCGAATACCATTTGCTGATGATATTCATGGTTTGTTTAAATGATTAACATCTTCGTTAATTCGGATTTATTTATAGGTTCAAATGTTTTAATTGTTAGTCCATCAGAAAAAGATGACTCATCGGCATCTCGTTCTAAACCAATTTCTCGAAAACAATCTGCTGATGATATTCATGGTTTGTTTAAATGATAAATATCTTCGTTAATTTGCATTTATTTATATAGATTCAAATCTTATAATTGTTATTCCACCAGTAAAAGATGAATCATCTAATTGTCATTCAAAACAACCTTCTCGTAAATCAATAAAAAATTCTCTTAAAGGTTTGTTTAAATGAGAGAAATATCTCCTTCAATTTCACTTTATATATTTAGATGTTTTACTTCTTGTGCCACAAAAAGAAAGTACGACACATGGTACACGAAATATTAAAAAAAAAAGATGATATGTTCGTCGAGGTTCCACGTCATGTTGGTCTCGGAGGTGATATGGTTAAAAAAATGATGAAACAAGTTCCAATGACATTGAATAACGCAATTAAAAAAAAACTTAAAATAAAAGTTTTGGAATATGTAAATATGACTGGGATAAATAACGATGAATTTTTTTAAGATCTGCATCATTATTGTTTGGATATTGGATATTATTATCGATAGTAAAATACACATTTGTATTAACAAGATTAAAATTGGATGCTCATTCACCGTTTTCATCATATACATGGTGCGAGCATCTTTTCGAACTTACTCATTGTTCTTTGATCAGGATAGGTCCATCCGCAATATGCAACTATCCTTGATCAAAGAACAATGGGTAAGAATATGGTGTTGTGCTGCATGGGCCTTCATGTCAGTATCAAATTTTTGCATTGGTGACATATATAAACAATACTCAATGATTTGGTTAGGGGTAAGTAATATCTCATCATGTAAATAAATATTCATATATATGGGCGTGGCCAACCATAGGATGCCCCGCTTTGATACAGTCCTATTGTGAGGATAAAACCCACTATTGTTCGAGCCATATAAGAGGGAATCCTACATAACCCTGGATTGGCCCGAACAACACCATGTTTTATCCTTACAATAGTAGAGAAAAGCTACCAGCTTATCGTGTGAGCTAATCGCTTTTCTCTACTATTGTAAGGATAAAACATGATGTTGTTCGGGCCAATCCAGGGTTATGTAGGATTCCCTCTTATATGGCTCGAACAATAGTGGGTTTTATCCTCACAATAGGATTGTATCAAAGCGGGGCATCCTATGGTTGGCCACGCCCATATATATATTGTAGATTTTTGAAACTGTATTAATAGTAATACTTCTAATTGTATCGTATTGGATGCTAAAGTTAAAGTTGATTGACAAAAAACCAACACAACTTACTGTTACATTAATCAACAAACCTTCTGAAAATGCTCAACAACTAACAGCAATTGATAAAAAGTACGATGTTATAATACATAAAACACAAGATAATGAACGTTTATGATGATTATCGTTATTGCGTTCGTGTATGTTATTTTTGTTTGTTCATTTTGCTTCGTCTCTTTTTTTATTCTAAAACTATTTACTATTCAACACAAACACACACCTGTTATCTTTTTTTTTGCTACAAACACACATACACATGCACTAACATTTTATGCTATGACCAAACATTTTGATTTTTTTTCATCGATGTCAACTTTTTCTATTTTGACTTGCATTGTTCATTTCCTTCTGTAGTTGATCAATGGAAGGGTGTGGGTGTGGGTGTGGGTGTGGATGGGTGTGGGGTGGGCGTGGGTGTGGGATGTGGGGTGTGGGTGTGGGGTGTGGGGTGTGGGTTTGGGTGTGGGGTGTGGGTTTGGGTGTGGGGTGTGGGTGTGGGTAAAAGGAAGGCTTCGACACCCACACCCTCACCCACACCCACCCACACCCACACCCACCCCACACACCCACCCACACCCACACCCACACCCTCAATCATTATCTAATTGATATTGATTTATTGAAACTTGATGAAAAGTTTTGATTCTGTTTGAAAGTCTGAAGTTTTTCTTTTTCTTTTCTCATTATGGCAGGTCCACAACATTGTATCTTACACAGGTATTATATTACATGAAAAAATTAAAGTAATTAAACTATCAATCATGTTTTATTTATTAACAATAATTGTGACGTTTCGTCCTAACTAAGGACATCATCAGACACGTATGAGTGAAAAAGGTGCACGAAGTATATATATATATAAAAAAAAAAAAAAAAAAAACATTAGTCATAGTGTAGAATTTTCTTAAACATTCCAATGCAAGGGGGAGAACGATGAGTCATTTGCATTGGAATGTTTCTCCCCCTTGCTTTACTATTTGTTACTTCATTATGTGTTATACTAGATGATTAGTTTGTGAATATCATAAGTTCATGACTGATCTTATTGTATGATTTTTGATGTTGTAAGCTCAGCAAAGTTTCTTTAATTTCACGTCTTTTTCTGTGTATATCTCTTCCAATGATTTCTGGTTTACTGAAGTCAATTACATGATTTTTGTTATTAATCATATGATCTGCTGCTCTTGAGGTTTCGGGTTTACGTAATCCTTCTTTATGTTGTTTCATCCTTTCATTTATATTTAGTTTTGTTTGACCAATATACACTTGATCACAAGTTTTACATGTAAGTTTGTAAACAACTCCAATTTCCATTGGATCTTTTCCCTTGAAATTCTTTGTAAATAGTTTTGCTAATGTTGTTCCTTTCTTATATCCAAAGATAATCTCAAATGTTGGAAATAATGATTTGATTATGTTTTTAATTTTATTAGACATGATGATTGTTTCATCACCATAGTAAGTAAGTGGTATAAAAAGCTTTTTTTCTTTTGTTTTTATCTTATTTTTAATTGTTGATCTATTATTATGATATTGTTCAATAGTATTTTTAATTTTTCTTTTAACTAGGTTAACTGGATATCCGTTACAGATCATTGTTCTCTCAATTAATTCACATTGTTCTTCTAATAGTCGTTTAGAAGAACAAATACTTAATGCTCGAAATGTTAATGTCTTAATTAAACCAATCTTATATTTCTTTGCTTGACATGACTGCCAATGTAACAGTTGACCAGTATATGTTTTCTTTCTAAATATCGTCGTTTCAAATTTTGTTCGCTGTTTTACCACCTTTACGTCCAGAAATGGTAATTCAAAATTACTTTCTATCTCATGAGTAAATTTTAGTTTTGGATGGAGTTTATTAACGAATTCAACTAGTTGTTGAATATCGTTTTCTTTACCATTAAAGATGATGAATGTATCATCAACATATCTTACATATAATTTTATTTTATCTGAATACTCATATTCTTCAATTTGTTGTTCAATATAAGTCATGAATATATCTGCAAGTATCGGGGCTAATGGTGATCCCATACTAACTCCATCTACTTGCATATATAATTGATCATAAAATCTGAATGGTGTATTTGTTACAGCTAATTGGAATAAATTTCTCAAATCTTTTGCTGTTAATTTGGTATAGTTTTTATCAATTTTCTTTTTATCTATAATGATCTTAATAGCTAGTTCTACTGCTTCGTAGACTGGTACATTAGTAAATAGGGATTCTACATCAAGACTTATCATTATATCATTCGCGGCTGGTTGTTTTAATTGGATAAGTCGAGCAAATGAAAAAGAATCTTTCACATAAGATTTTGGTTTTTGTCGAGCATCTTCCACTAACTTAGTTAAATACTTTGCTAATTTATAATTATAACTATTATTTGTTGATATTATAGGTCTCAATGGCATTCCTTCTTTATGGATCTTGGGATTACAAAATAATACTGAACATCGTGATCCTGTGCAATGAATATAATCGTAATCATCTTGTGATAATCTTTTTGCTTTTTTTAATTCCTTCAATCTATGATCTAATTTACTCTCCATTTTCTTTACAACATGTTCAATAGTATTTGGTTTTCCTCTTTCATCTAATTCGTTCATCTTTTTAAATGAAGTTCCTGTTGATAATAATTCAAATACTTTGGATTTATAATGATCTTTATCCATAATGACACATACAGATCCTTTATCGGCTTTCATGATTACGATATTTTGATCTTTTATTAAACTTTTTAAAGCAATAAGTTCATTTTTATTCACATTAATTATTTTCTTGTTTTTGTTTATTTTTAGTGCTTGATTTGCTGCCCGTTGTATACATTCAGTAAGGCTACTGTTTAAGGATGTTTCATGTGGTTTATGTAATTGTTTTAGGATACTGAAAGCCATCATCTCAATTTCAGTTTTAAATTCAATTGGATTTTTAATTTTAGTTTCAATACAAAACTGAAGTCCTTTAGCAAGAATTGATTCTTCATCTTCAGTTAATGATCTTGATGAAATATTATGCACTACTTTTTTTTGGATTAATTATATCTAATTTAACATCACCTTTTGATAATTTTTCTATTTTTATTTTGTGTGCTAATCTTATTTCTGTTCTTTTATTTTGTTTTAATTTCTCAAAATGTTTATTTAATAATTCATATTCCATTGAATTGATCTTATTTTTCAATGATTTAATTAAAGCTTCTACTTCTAGTTGTTGTTTTAAAGAATTTTTCGATTTTTGATAGTACTCTAATTGTAAATATTTACGCTGATGTTGATAATAAATATTATGTTTCATATATCTGGTGTTCCAAAGTTTAAAACGGACGAAATTTGGAATAAGATGGTAAATGAGACATGTACGAAGGAATTCTTCATCACATTTTGTTTTTATTAATTTTGTAGTTGTATTCTCTAACTTCCTCACCTCCTTCACTATACCTCGGCCATACTTTTTTCCGAGGCGTTTAATAATATGAATATCATTTGATAGGATTAAATTTATAAATGAAAAAATTAAAGTAATTAAACTATCAATCATGTTTTATTTATTAACAATAATTGTGACGTTTCGTCCTAACTAAGGACATCATCAGACACGTATGAGTGAAAAACACGCCATTGTATTATATATATATATAAAAAAAAAAAAAAAAAAAAACATTAGTCATAGTGTAGAATTTTCTTAAACATTCCAATGCAAGGGGGAGAACGATGAGTCATTTGCATTGGAATGTTTAAGAAAATTCTACACTATGACTAATGTTTTTTTTTTTTTTTTTTTTATATATATATATACTTCGTGCACCTTTTTCACTCATACGTGTCTGATGATGTCCTTAGTTAGGACGAAACGTCACAATTATTGTTAATAAATAAAACATGATTGATAGTTTAATTACTTTAATTTTTTCATTTATAAATTTAATCCTATCAAATGATATTCATATTATATTACATGGTTCAAATAACATTTAATTTGTGTATCAATAAGTAAGATATAATCAACTAACCGTAAGTTACCAATAATTTTATCATTATTATTATTATTATTAATTAACTGTCATTATTAATCTTTTACTATATCTAAACATTATGACATCATAATATGAAAATTTCCATGAGACAAAAAAGAAATTTCAGAAATTACCTAGAAATTATCGGAGTAATTTCGATAATTTCAGAAATTACTATAGTGATATTAGTATGGATAAGATGGGTACATAGCGGAAAGAAAAGTCCACCTCCGATCGAACGAGACATTTCGGTGGCTATCGATAGGTAAGTACCGAGCTTTTTTGCGTTATTCTCGAGCATTTTCATATCGAAGCTCGAGCTGTGAAATAGAAAGCCGAATTAGCAGGCCTAACCTATCAAAGGATAGAGAAAATTTTACTCTATCAAATGAGACATACCCCCACCTCTGTGCAACAATGCCTTCGGTTTTTATGAGAATTTTACAAACTGAGTCCGACCGAGCCTAGGCTCGGGACTCGGGCTCGATCGAGACATTATTTTGTACTGCAAATAAAAATTAGAATAACCGCAGCACAGGACTGAGGAATGTCCCATTTGGTAGAGCGATGTTTTGTCTATCTTGTGATAGATTAGACCTGATGATTCAGCCTTTCATTTCAGAGCTCAAGGTATTAACCCTTTGAGGACGGGTTTTTTTTCTGTATATTTCATCATAAATCAATCAACATTTCCATTTTCTAAAAGAACTTTATAAAAACGTGTGTTCAGAAGTTTTTTAAAGTATGATATAGCTCAAAACAAGGTACAACACATAGATCAACATTACATTCAACACACTCATAAGTTGTTTTAGTTTCTTTCTTTGGAGCTGTTGTTGTATTATAGCAGACATGACATTTTCTTCTCCTTCTTCTTTCAGATGTATGTTCAGTTGAATAATCTTGAATGAGTGAGGGAAAATGTCGAGCAGTGAGTCTCATTGGATTTTCTAAAGGTAGTCTCCCTTTTTTTTTTTCGTTCTTTTGACTTCCAACAGATTCTGTAATAGCTCGAATCACTTCCAATCGAAAATCCGACAAGTGCATTGTTTTTCCGGTCTTCAACTTGTATAAAATGAAGGCATTGTACAAAGTCACATCGAGCAGATGGAAGAAAAACTTTTTATACCATTTTATAGTTTTTCGTACGCATTCCGAGAAGCTAATCTGCATGTCCGATTTGTCTATTGCTCCCATATTTTCATTATATTCTTTGATGCAAATCGGTTTCATTATCGGTTCGTTAGTAATGTGGTCAAGTTTGCCTGTAGATACCATGCTTGATTCGTGAATAGTTGAAAGCATGTGAACATCACGGCGATCTTTCCATTTCAATACTAGGAGTTTGTCTGTGTGTCTAAACACTTGTTCGTATTGCTTTAGTTTGATTGATTTCAAATGATTTCCTATAAAATTCAATAATAGAAATTTCAATAAAACTTCCGAATTTTATAAACTGCCTAAATTTTTCAGAAATGCGATCATAAAATATTTCATACAGTATTTTATTGGTTGAATCTTGGATAAAAGAATACTATATGAGATTTGTGTTATCGGACTCTCAAAAAACCCCGATATCTTCTAGACTTCGAGAGTATTGTCGAAATTCTAAAAGTTCTATTTCTATTATACCTTTTGAATCAGTTAAATGTATTCGATCAGATCTTACAGTGCCACAAGCACCAGTTTTCATAGAATGTAACATTTTAATTTATTATCATGAAGAATATTTTTTAAGAAATAAAAAATCAAAACAACAACAAAAACAAAAACAAACATTTTTATTTACTATAAATCAATCATTATTAGAATTTAATCAAAAACAATTAATATTATTTAAAAAATATCAAAATATTCAAGAATATTTATCTGAAAATATTGATATTAGTGTTCATGATATATTATATGATTTAATATATATACGAGAATTATTAAAAGATGTACTTAAACAAAAAAATTTTACTAATTTTCGTCATCATTTATTTTATTCACAACAATCTATTCAACAATTTGCTATATTAATTGATCGAATTTTATTTTTTATTTATCTTATTTCAATGCCATTATGTATGATAATATTATTTAAATCAAATAATCAATCAAATATATCACCATCAATAACAAATCAATTACTTGATATACGTAAAACAGCTATTGATCCACCGTCAATTTATCGTGGATGTCCAACATAATGAAATAAATGTTTATTTTTTTTTGTTAGTAGAACTCACACATATATTTTCGAAGAAAATAACAAATGTAAGTTTAAATCGAGGTTTTTGCGGGTGTTCTTCTTTTCCTAGGCTCTAGCAACCGCGAAGTCCGAGGTGGAAAGCCAAAAATTAGCGGGTACGTTTTCCTAACAACGAGAAAAAGTACGTCAATAATAACAATGCTTAGATCATTCTGGAACTTTCTAGAATCTAAGATTTCTACTGTAGATTCTAACTAATCTAAATATTGCGAGTTTTGGTATTCAATGCAATGAAAGTATCTTATTGTAAGTGTAGATCACTAGGACAGTGATATAGAGTCAGAATAGAGTGAACATAGAAAAAGAGATAAAACTCAATAGTATATATCAAATTTCATCGAGAGAAAATCTAAGAAAACCCCTCCCTTCCCGTAACAGAAGCTCCTAGGGCTTCTAAACTATCCAAGCGTTCAATATTTTTAGAATGGCTACTATTACGACTTTCGTACAAAACGCGTAGGATTTGAGAGTGTTTATCTGAGAACGGAGCATATAAGACTCACAACCACACACAACAAATATAAGTCAGTGAATGTACGACTAGTGGGTAATAATTATTTCTCGTCCAACATGGCGATAGCCATACACAAACTTGTTCTTTACAGTTCCAAGCGTTGATAGATGAAATATTGGTCGTCTCTAAAGTTTATATCGAATGATAAAACGTCGACATCACTAGGAGTATTTCTTAATTGGTGAAGGCAAAATCAATGCTAATGAAATTAACTATTAAAAAATTCGAAATTCTCCCAGTCGTAATAGAATCTCTGAGACTTCTAATGAGGGAGCTTATATTACGAAGGGCGGCAATGATATTGACCACATCCTATAGCATGTATCATATATATTAATGAGACTAGAACGAGGGATGTCTTACGAAATATTGTTGAGATTTTCATTCGATAGTTTTCCATATTAAAATTGATGAATGAAAAAATAGCATCGATTGTAAATAAACAACTTTTTTTTTGTGATGAATTTAATCATGGCTAATTAATAGATTGTTCATATATGTATTGAATAAATTTATCTGTTTTAGTTAAGTTACTGTGTTTATTTATTTCATTTCATTATTAATATTATATTATATGAAGCGTTAATTAATTCTTATTGTTTCCTAATTCGTGTTTGGAATATGGCACAACTTGATATATATACTATTTAAACTAATTTATTAAATGCATTCAACATTTTTAGAACCGAAAGTTGAATTTTTGTTTTTGAATACTAATTTTTTCTTTTGATTCTCGATTGATACATATTGTATAAGATCAATAAATATTTCATATAGTCTATCATTTCTGTAATACATAACTTGTTTGTTTATAAAGGCATTCTTTTTTCTTCCATTCAATTATACAGACAGGTCAGATCAACAACAAAAAAAATGGTTTATTTAGACTTCTAGAAGTTACAGTGCTGTGTTTGCTTGTACACAAAAAAAATGTTTGTCAATCACTTTGAGTAGTCTCAATGTTCTATATTCTTTTCTCGTGGAGATAAAATGATTAATGTATAACTTGACATTAAAATAAAATAGTATCTTCCATTGAGATTAGAAGGTAAATTTATTTCAATTTGTTTTCAAATAATATGAATATCTTCTTAAATAACAATGCAACAAAGATCTAGTTTATCTATCCTATGTTGCACATAACCGATGATTTACCTAAGATAGTGCTTACGACTTTAGTTCTAGCTATAAACGATTGTACAGAGTGTTTTCTAACTAAAAAAAAAGAATTCATATTAATCAAGAAGAAAAAAGTTTCAGAATATATTTTACTAATAAAAATTTATCTCACAACTTGGACCGATTGGAACTGTGTGGCTAGTACAAACGGCTCAGAAACATTATCTACATCAAAATCTTCCCTAATTTTCAGTATTTTATACGACTGAATTCAATGTTATTTCGGAACTTTTAAAATTCCAGAAAAAAAATCAAACTCTTTTAATTAAAAATTATAAAAATAAATTATACATAATAGACGACAGGGGATTTTCGGCAACATGAGATTTAATACAATTTATTTGCATCAAATTTATGATCATTATTATTATTATATTTCAATTGTCTTCTATTCCCATTTGACTGTCAAATATGTCTTATTCAATTTCAATGAATACATCATCAGTCTCTCAATTTTTTTGATCAATAATTCATTTATTCACTATTGTTTTGTTACAATTGACTTGTTCTAAAGCCGACATAGATCACCGAACAAGTTACTTCTTTATTTTTTATTTTTTTGAATAGTAAAAATCATTATGTCCTATGTTTAACTCTGTAAAGATTCATAATGCAACAAAAAAAAAAAAAATCAATCTAAATTCTTTCTTTTCTTTTTATTTTCAACTATTAGCAATGAAATATATTTTATTTTCATGTGTATATATAATTTGTTGAGAAAAAAAACAAAACAAAACAAACAATATACACATCTATGAACTATATAGACGAACAAATAATTATGAATTCACACAATTTAAGGCGATGAAATAAATTGACATACGTTGTTGTTGTTGTTGTTGTTATTTTTTTAAAGAAAGCACATAAACCACCACTATTAACATGAACATAAAAACTAACGAGTGTAGCAGACAGAAAAAAAAAATATTAATTTTTTTTTTTGCGACTATAATTTTCACACATATATTTGTGTGATGGAGAATATAATCTATCAGACTAGAAACATCACTGTTGAAAAATATAGAAACAGAGGAGAAAAACAAAAAGGAAGAAACGTTTTGTTTTGATAGACTGTATTTTTTATGTTTATTATTATTATTATTATTATTATTCTATATCAGCTTATCACAGTTTCCCCGAATTGAATATTTATTTTCGAAATAAACGCCATAAACCATTTTTACGTTCTTTACGTGGTGCCATTAACATCGGTGCTTGATTTTTATGTGTTATTGAAATAGTACATGGTGGTTGTAACCATGGTTCACCATCAATTTGCATCGGGAAAGTTTTGTGAGTTCTATTGAAGAAAAAATAATTTGTATGAAATATTCTTTTTTTTTTTTTGTAAAGATAAATTCATTCATACCTGATAACAACTGATGAACATTGACCAAGTCGTTTTGCACTTGATCGTACACCAGCATAGATGGATCCAGCATGAATAGCTGACTGTACACCAACAACTTCAATTAATTTATCTCCAACATCTTTTAGAAAAAAAAAAATTAAATTTACAGTTTTAATATATAGATATGTCATAGTAGAAATTGAAATTTCATTTTCTATTAGTAGAAAATGAGATTTCTACTGCAACATATATATATATATAAGATGCCAGCTATTCGAAATTTGAATAAAATTTTCTTTTATTAGAATTGAATAGAGCTCATTAAGTTATCATCTGTCAAAGTATTGTTGATCACATGTTCAAATGGAATTTGTGTAGTGAAATATATTGTTACATTGTTGAGAAAATTGATTTCCTTTTCCCGCCATAAATACGAATTCATACTCAATAACCTTGGTAATCAGAATTTCAATTCGAAATGGAATGAACACATTATATTTAATATCAAGAGAAAAAATCCACATTGAATATTATACTCAATATCTAAAATAAGTTTTGATTGTTACACATCCCTTCACTATTATTTTTGAATACTTTTATATTGATTCTGAATATGATATTCATTTCATAAGGGAACTAAAAAGTGTTTTGTATTTATTGGGCTTTGCTATTATCATACGTAATTTTTTTTTCTTAATTATATAATCAATAAAATCAAAAATAAATATTGAGACTATCAAGACTTTATGCAGTTGACGTATTTCAATTTTTATGAGTTTTTCTGATTAATTTTTCTAAATATCGTGTAAATATGTGAAAAACAATATTTTGAGAGATACCTCGATAAACTCTATCCAACGATAACACAAAAAAAAGCTTATCAACAGCTGTCCCTTAAATGCTAAAATATCGAACACACATGTGTTGTTTAGCCTCATTATACTAATGCAAAATATATCTAGTGGAAAATCTCTAGCAGATTATAATTGTTTTTCAAAGATAATCGATCATCAGTGAAATGATTTGTCTTAGTTATTTCTGCATTTTGAACAGATTTATTTTTCTTTGCTGCTATTCCATAGTAGTTACTCATTTTCATATTCCGCTTTTATTAATTTAGCGTTATTATTATTATTATTCTACTCATATTCATTATTTTGCCCTATCATATAATGACAATGCATGATATCTTAAATATAAATTTTTATCTACACTATTGAGAATATTCACACAAATGTTTTTCAGCGATTCAAATTCCGAAGAATGTCTTGTCGTTAATTCGATTCAGCGTCTAGTTTGACGCCTGTTGTCTTCAGCTATTAAGAAAACGTATTCAATAATCGTTGGCCTTTCTCTACCATGTTCCCTTGCGGTTTGGAGGAGTGAATTTTGTTCAAATTTCGAATTGCCGACATCTAATAAATATATTTACCTTGTAAAACAAATGCCATATCTGACGTTGAACTCGTGGAATATTCTCTATACAATAATTTGAATTCGTTTTTTGTTTTTCGTTTTATTTTTTGAAATTACATACGAGTCTTTTCGGTGAAAATTTAATGGTGTTTTTCTTTTTTTATGTCGACCACCTTCACCCCATAATGATATACCACCATATATACTTGGAATATTTAATAATGCAATACCTTCTAAAGATGGTCCATTAGATAAATCAAGCGAAACTCCATCACACTAAATATTAAATAAAATATTTTGTTGCCTTTTTTTGTTTTTTATCTTGTATAATGTTACCATAATGTCAATATCTTCATGTAAATTTTTACATGTAGATGAAAATGCTTCTGAAGTACCAAATTCTAAATACCATAATTTATTTTTCATTCTAAATTTTCAAATAAAAAAAAGTTCATTAAAAACAAACAAGAAAAATTTC